TTAACAAATAATTGTTCTACAATTATCATTGTTAGAATACCTTATCTCACTGTTTGCAAATCTGTTTGAAAGACTAATGTATTAAAATAATTAAAAAAATAAAGGTATAGAGACTTGTTTTACTGGGCCACATGTATGATACAAAGAATTATAAAACTCTGCTAACGCGAATAAATCTAATATGGTGAATGTATCGTGAATACTAGCTGACGTTCCCTGCAATGCCAGCTTGCCTATTAGACAGGAAAAGGAATGCAATCAAGGTTTGGTGACCCAACTCTTCGCTTGCTCTCATGCACACTAAAAGTCCCGTGTCGCCCAATCTCATCCCACCCAGTTTCTCCCTGCCCCTCCTCCTCTAAATCAAACAAATATTTCCCTTTATGTGAGAAATATAATAATTTGAAAACAAGTAGTCTAAGTTATGCCCGAAGAAACACTCTACCAATCAATGAAAACCGGACCAAACTCCGTTCAGCCATTTCACAGAATACTCCGGGCAAACATACATACAAAAATCGTAAAAATTATTCATTTGTTTTTTATTGCACCTAAATAATTATTTCAGATTATAGAAAGGCAGTTATTTTGAAATGAGAGAGACAATTCAATTATATTGATATAGATTAATATTATTTAATATAAATTGCATAATGTGTAAAATGTATCTAAAAATTGCAAAAGTTTTTCAGCAACGACAATGGATGCGCGCAGAATGGAATTCTTTCATTAAACTAATGTTGGTTTACAACTCACCAATAAAATAAATTGTGTAATCTGCAAGCCAATATCACTAGCCAAAATCACAGTTACACTCAGTTGCGTGCCTGCGGGAGGGCTAAGGCAATCGAGTGGAACGTGAATCCCAATTTCCTTACAACTCGCCAAGGGGGATTGTCTCAGCCTTTATTCCAGCGCCGGTTGCAGCCAACCGTTTGAGGGCGGGAGCAGTTGCGCGCTCCACTCGCAGCCGTTGCGCGTCGCACGCCCTGTGCCTCGCATGCAACATTCCGCATGCAACCCGCAACAGACGTCCCAGTGGCGCCGCGCGCACGCCATTTACGGGAGAGCAACGCCGCTAACAGCGCAACAGGTTGGCGGGTAACTTCCACTTCGTGTTGCTACACACGAGCGTAATTTTTACTCGACAGAGAGAGAGAGAGAGAGAGAGAGAGAGAGAGAAAGCGAGAGAGAGAGAGAGGCGAGAGAGAGAGGCAAAAGAGAGAGAGGCGAAAGAGAGAGAGGCAAAAGAGAGAGAGGCGAAAGAGAGAGAGGCGAAAGAGAGAGAGGTGAAAGAGAGAGAGGCGAAAGAGAGACGAGAGAGAGGCGAGAGAGAGAGGCGAAAGAGCAAGAGGCGAAAGAGCAAGAGGCGAAAGAGAGAGAGGAGAAAGAGAGAGGCGAAGAGAGACGAGAGAGAGACTAGAGAGAGAGGTGAAAGAGAGAGAGGTGAAAGAGAGAGAGGTGAGAGAGAGGTGTAAGAGAGAGAGGCGAGAGAGAGACGAAAGAGAGAGAGAGTCGAAAGAGAGAGAGAGTCGAAAGAGAGAGAGTCGAAAGAGAGAGAGTCGAAAGAGAGAGAGTCGAAAGAGAGAGAGTCGAAAGAGAGAGAGTCGAAAGAGAGAGAGTCGAAAGAGAGTCGAAAGAGAGAGAGTCGAAAGAGAGAGAGAGTCGAAAGAGAGACTAGAGAGAGGTGAAAGAGAGAGAGGTGAGAGAGAGGCGAGAGACAGAGGCGAGAGACAGAGGCGAGAGAGAGGCGAGAGAGAGGCGAGAGAGGCGAAAGAGGGAGAGACGAAAGAGAGAGAGGCGAAAGAGAGATGAAAGAGAGGCGAGAGAGAGGCGCGCGTGAGAGAGAGAGAGGCCTGAGAGAAAGATAGAGTGCAAATTGGAGAGGATGTGAGAATGAATGAGAGTGAGCGAAAGTGAGAGAAAGAGAGTGAGTGCATGTGTGAGAGAGAGAAAGTGCGCGAGAGAGAACGATAGAGAGAAGGAGAGAGAGAGAGAAAGTGAGCGAGAGATATAGAGAGAAGGGGAGAGAGAGTGAAAGACAGAGAAAAAGGTGAAAGAGAGAAAAAGTGTGTGTGTGTGAGAGAGAGAGAGAGAGAGAGAGAGAGAGAGAATGAGGGTGAAAGAGAGAAAGAGATAACTTTCCGCATTAACCGAAAGCTTCAAGGGAAAAAATACACCAGAAACCCACATCCGCCACTGACACGTCGTTGCGGGAAATATCCAACTACTACACACTTAATTCCAACAATGCAATTAAAATCTCATAGAGCAATGATTGTGCAATACACATGCGTGACGTTTTTCATTTACTTTCATTAAAGTTGTCAGTTAGGTGACAATACAGATTTAAATAATCGCAATTTCAACTACATTGCAAGTCGAATACGTTACTAAATAAGAAAGAGCTCACATCATGCACAAAAATGTGTATGTTATGTAAATCTAAAAGATGCAGAAATTTTGCGAATTTTTAATGTACATTGTAATGTAAAGGAAATGAACATTACCTTTACAAAATTATGTTATGTTCAATAACAAAATATTAAACTTGTAATTTTTAATAAATCTGTAAATCAAATACAAAATTTTAAAGTATGAAGCTGTTATTTATTTATAGAAGGTAAAGCATTACTTTGATGGAGTTTGGTACATTTTTTTCTAATTAATATCGTAATATTTTTTTTCAAATATCAAGTATGAATATTTTAACGAATATGATTACATGTTTATTTAATGAGGTGAGAATGGGAGTGGACTGGGATATTTGCAGTTTATAATTCGAACGTGTTTCTAAATATTCTGATACAAATAAATCTAATATTAACTATCATTATGTTACAGTTTAATGTAACAATTAAAATTATGTTATAATAAAAAATACAGGTTAATGTAACAATTAAAATAATATATCTTTTAGCATTTAGAATTTTTGGCATGAATTAATCAGTTAGTACTTCTTTTCCTGTCAGTTGCTGATAGATGCATAATTTCACTTTTGAGCGTCCTTGTTATCAAAAAGGTGAATTTTTAGTAAGATTCCGTCCGTATTTCTTATATTTGGATAACAGTCACGGTTGGTCACGGTTTCTATGGCCATGTGTCGCTCGATCAGTTTTACTTTACACAGAATGCCTCAGAAAAAATGTTTTAAAGTTTTAGAATATATAGTCATGTCAAAATATAACTTTACGAATGAACAAATAGTCGGATATGCATAAAACAGATTTATAAGCTTTGACAAATGAGCCATTAGCCTCTGATTTTTTAGGCAAGCCCTGAAGCACACGTGTAATACACGTCACGTTCTGAAGCAGTCTGAAGCAAACATGTGCATGCTGGATTGCCTAAAACCAGATGCAAATGTCACATGTACAAGTGCTTATATTTGTACTTCCAGAAACTTCCCGCTACATGTTCGTTGGCAAAAAGTGATGTTTTGCAACCCTCCGCGTTCTTTAACATTTATTCTGAAATATCTGAAGTGCCCGGCGGTGACTTGCAGCCCTCGACTGTGGAACGCTGTATGTCTGAACTTCCCTCTGTGTTCGTTTGGGAAACACTGAATGCGATTGTCATTCAAAGATAATTTGTCCAATCATCATATCGTCTTGTACTCTCTGCTACTTACAAGGCCATTTGAACGCATCATTCACCCTGAAGCACGGAGGGTTCGTCATTTTTCACGTCGGTTATGATACATCTTACGGATATAACTCAGCTTTCGGAAAAATACATTGATTACGTGCAAAACGTCAATCTAATTGATGATTAATGTTTAAAAATCTTCGAAATAATATTTTTTTTATAAATTATTCCTAAATATTCTAATGAAGGTGAAAACAACTGTGTTATTTCCTGTTATATCATGTTTTTCATGTATCTACATCAAGACACATTTTTTTAAAACCAAAAATTTACTTCTTTTAAATCTAACAAAATTAACACAAACTTCATAAGAGTATTTAAGACTTCATTTTGCAAAATGTAAATACTTCTTTATAAAATAATTGCCCGTAAGCAACGCATGGGTGTCAAATGACATTTTATATTTAAAATTATATTTATAGTTTCTATAAGTTTCAAACTAAAACATAGACAATACAAAAATGCACTTTAAAGTACGTCACCAACAATAAATTAATTTCTTAAAACTTTATCTTCGTAAGAAGTATCTTACAATTGTCTTTATATCAATGTATTGTTTCTATTAACGAATTATAAAAATAGTATATTTGATTATTACATATTCAAAGATTCAGGAGAGCAATACTTCAATTAATATGGGAAAATGAGCAGTAATTCAACCTTTATTAGTTTTCAAAATGTTGCGAGATTCTAGAAACATTAATTTTATTAAACAATGAACTACTGATTCATTTGAACCCGCAATTATTGTAATAAAAAAATGATAAAAAGAATCGTTGGTGAGTTTCCCGTCAGAGAAAATGAACATGAACGTCTATTAACAGTTCTAATTCACCATTTATTTCAACATTGATGAGTGTTTTGAGGTACATTTCGAATTGTCCCAGCTCATATTTATCACCGTCATCAGTAAATAATTGACGCTCTCATAGGTAACTCAAGCTACACACATCTGAATTCAAGTAGCTAATTTGTCTCCTACACACACTAAACTTAAGAGGTTTCTGGTACTTTTAGTGTATAACATCAAGTTTTGAGAAATGTAAATGGCGTACAATAATAAAATAATTCAACTGTCGCAAACATTTGTGCGCGAATGGCAACTGCGTGTTCATTCGAAAACCTCCAGCACCCGCCAAACACATGAATAAAAAGTAAAGATTTCGTTACCAGTATGTTTTATTACTAATCGTCTTCAAGAGTCGATCAAACAAAAGAAACGGCGCAGGCGTTGTGACCATAAATACTTGTGCTGTGGTGTTGAGTGTCCCACGGAGCTCCTCTACGTCTAGCACTACGCTACGCACTACCACACACGTCGAAAGGCAAGGAACGCGAGAGACCTTGCTTACCGTTGGCATCCTTCGCCTCCAGCCCCTCCGCCTCCATCACCACCACGTTCAGCACCACGATGGGCGGCTGCAAGCATACGCGCGCGCCACCACGGGTTACAACAGCGATCTTCAGCCTGGGCTCCTCCAGGGCTCTCTCTGGGGAGCGGCCAGGGCAGCCGCTCAACCGAAACACACTCCGTTCACAATGGCTATTATCGCGCAAGAAATATTTCGAGTAGGAACGGGGCAGTGGTCTCTCTTATTAGAGTATTATATTGATATATTTAAATAAAAATGTGAAACGATTAAACATTTTTGAAAATGTTATACTTTGTCAAAAAAGAAACAAAGAATACTATCTGATTGTTACATTATTAATACTATTTCACAATCACTCCATTTTAAACATTTTTGACTGTTTAAATAATTTTACTCATTTGAGTAAGAAAAAAGCTTAGAAAAACTATTTTATCTGCTACATAAACGTGAGGTTTCTTCAAGAAAACAATGAGTTTGAAGAATTCCTGAAGATGTTAAACGTTGAAAGCCTCTGGGTTAGAAGAAACAGACTCTGGTAGACCTAAAAAATTTCCAACTGGTTTTAGTTTCCCTCAAAAGTCTCAAAATTAAATTGCTCCAGTAATAAGCTGGAAGAAGTGTACAGTTTTCTGGCTTTTTATCCTTTTAACTCAAAAAATGGTAAACGTATCTTTCAGGTGTCTTTAACCCTCGAGCGGGTGCGCCGAGACATGGAGTGTAAAATGCATACATTTTTGCTTCTCATATAATGAAGGGCTCAAGAGAAGAAGGGAGTATCCACATTTTTTGTGAAATTATGTTATTAGCATTAAATGCAACTTCAGATATTATTCTTTTAGTGTAATGTGTTATTTAAATACAATACTGACTTATATACAAGGGTAGTTCCATGTTTAATAGTTTAGAAATGTACTGAGTTGTATTATGACATTTCTAGTAAAACCGTTCATGTCTCAGCTGTCCGCGCAGAATATTTCAACGACAGAGAGTCTTGTCATTGAGTGTTGGAATGCTCTGTCAACATAGCTGTAGTAGTTTCCTGCAGCTGAAACTGTCCGTTGCTCTCCGTGCGTTCGCGCCCGCTCTAGCGAGTCAGCGTGACCCTGAAACTCACGCGTGTTGCTTCTGCGGAAAGCACAAGGCTGGGAGCTCTTACCGGGTGTCAAATTCTGCCGATGATATTGTTGTTGCACTTGCTTTACGTATGCAAAAGACCAACAGAAATGTTACAACAGACAATTCCCACACACGCTATACTTTGTCAAAACGGCTATTAGGTAAAGGGTTGACAGACAATAGTAAAAACTGCGAAGAAGCAAAAACAAAAAAGAAATATCTCCATAATTTTTACTTAACCAAACAAGATAAGTAGAATCCTCTACGTTTGGTTTCCAGAATAATTTTACTTTGGTCTCATATGTACGAAAGAAAAGTGAAGCAATTGTGCATCTTTAAAGGATGCATACTGACGTTGACTGTGATACGACAAAGCCAAGCATCAACAGGGATTATAACTCAACGGAAGGAGGAGTGGACACTGGATCAGACGTGCAGTTGGTATTCCAATGTCTTTTTTCTTCAGATAAGTCATAGGTCATTGCAGGTGCACCTGCATAAACGTTCTCTTGAAAGGCAACAAGAAAGACTGCGTAAAAACCCTCGGGAAATGGTAGCACAATTTTGAATCTCCGTTGTTTGAAACTCGTGTGATTGCGCGAGAAAAAAAAATTCCTTCACTTCCTTTGGATATCCATACGTTTCTGAGCCAGTGGAACAAAGATGAGACCAAAGCAGAGCAAGAATCAAGCAGACAACGCGGTAAAGTGAAGCGTGGCCTTAATCTGAAAAAATAAGAAAAAATATTGGATTAAGAATATAACATAACTAGCTGCACCTGTGCGAATTTTATCCTCAAAATGTAACAGAAGATTCCAAAAGATATTTCAGAAAAACATCTCCAAAACAAGCAATTTTGAAATTGTTGAGAAATGAAATTCCATACACATTAGAAATCAACTTAGAACGTTTTATGTGGCGCAAGTGACACAGAAATTCTGTTTTAACACTATGGGACGTACCGCTTCTGAATTTTGCTTGATGGTAACGTGTATTGCAAAGTAAGGTGTACTGCGGATTGTGTGGTTTCTTAAATTATATTACTTGAAAATTTAATTTCTTAATATTTTAAATCCGATTTATGCATCCCCGAGGGTGGAAATCCCTATGCAGGACTTTTGTGACGATGATGTTTTATGAATTACACAAAGCCGTCATAATAGATAATTTTATCTAGAGAGTATATACAGTATAAATAATTAAACGATCCCATATTATGTGGAATAGTGACGAGATGATAGAAATATTCACAAAGAAAAGCATAAGATGAGAGTGCGAGCCTCCATTTGTAGTCCTCAAATGAAAATCAGCGAATTTCCTCGCATTGGGGAATTATCGGAAACTGCGTAAAATGTTCCTATTTACATTTAATAAATGGAAACGCCTGTCAAAGGAAATGAAGGCCCGGAGATTGAAATTAAATTTAAATATTCCATGAAATGCGATCAAAGGGAAAACTTGACATAGTCAATGAGCCTATCGGCCTGCGCTTGCAAATACACTCGGCGCATATTGAAAAGCAAACCGGGGTGGAACAGCGGCGCGGCGCGCCGTTTCAAGGGATTCGTTGAAGTCCACTTCCTCCCCTCGCGTGCCCCTCTCCCTACGCCTTCCTCTCCCCTCCACCTCGCTCCCAACACCTCCCCAGGCCCCCCTCAGTCCGCCTCCCCTTTGACCCAATTCACGTCCAAGCCCCCCGTCCCGTCACCTCGCATCCCGGGCGGAGAAACTCACCTGAACATTAGCTCTTTCTTTACCTCTACTTTCATATGTTTAGGACGGAGAATTATCCCTTCCATTTAATAATAATAGAGAAAACAAGACACGTTTAGAATGATACACTATGTAATCTAAAGTATCTAGACACGTCTAAAATGTTATGGCATGGTCTTTTTTTCATGAAGGGGGCTTCCACCCCTTGTTTTGTGTGTCACTATTATGGCACAGGCGTACGTTCATGTTTTAGGCACCTTCTTGCTTCCCACTGCTGAACAGCAATTCGGCGATGGCTATTATATCTTTGAACACAATCGAGCACCTGTTCATACTGCACGGCCTGTGGCGGAGTGGTTACACGACAATAACATCCCTGTAATGGACTGGCCTGCACAGAGTCCTGACTTGCATCCTATCGAACACTTTTCGGATGTATTGGAACACCGTCCCGGCCATACCGACCTACATCGATACCTCTGCATTGCTGCCATTTTCCAAGAAACATTCCAGCACCTGATTGAATGTATGTCTGCGAGAGTGGAAGCTGTCATCAAGGCTAAAGACGGGCCACCACCCTATTGAAATGCAGCATTACCGATGGAGGGCGCTACGAACTGGTAAGTCATTTTCAGCCACGTGTCTGGATACTTTTGATCACATAGTGTATGCATACATCCAACTAAAAAGAAATTGTGTGTATTTACTGTTTCATAGATAATTGTTATTTTGATAGATACGAGTAGTAAAAGTGTAATTTATTGTGGGAATAGAAAATGTAGCGACACGAGGCCGAATGCCGAGTGGCGCAATGCTACAAGCATCGCGATAACCTATAGAGAGAGATCAGACATGTCACTTCTCCTCATAGTGGCTTCTTTTACATTTTTTTACAAGTTTGGTTCTTTAAGTAAATACATTTCAGGGCTGATAATAAAGTAACGTGATCATCAGACAGTCAGATATATTATTTAATGAAGTCGTCTTTGAAACATTAAATTGAAATTCTCAAACGTTCTAAGCGTCATACGTAGTAGAAATTCATTGCGTAATACGTCAAATGCTCAATCGCCGTTTCCTTATTTTGCCGGGGGGCGGGGGCGCGGGCGCGAGCGCGGGGCGCACCTTCTCCTCGCTGGCGACGGCCAGCAGGCGCCGGTGCACGTCGTTGGGGATGCCGAACGCCTCCTTGGCGTAGCTGAACAGCTCCTCCTTGTAGTGCGCGTACTGTCCCGTGGACGCCCCCACCTTGTTGGCGATGGTGTACAGCACTTCCACGTACAGCTGCTCCAGCTGCAACAGCCACGACCAACGCTCGCTTTCTTAGAAGGTCGCCCGCCGACCCCGTCTACACACTCATCCCTCGGTACAACGGACCTCGATTCTTTAACGGGTTTCGGGAGCACCGAACAAAATTTGGAAGCTGGGTTATACATTTTACACGTGGAATTTCCCGCGCGTTACTGTACATTTCCACTAGAGAGATGTTTTACACCGATTTATCGATTGGTGAGAATCGACATCACTGGTCCGATGTCCCACCTCATTTTGATCCGTAGAATAGAGGGATGAACGTACTGTTTTTCACATTTAATATAAGTTGAAAGCAGAGTCATCAATTAAATAACAATTTTGTGCCTTCAGTAAATGAATAACTAAAATTAAATAAATTATACATTTTTATTCATGTTTCCCAACTCTCAGTTTTTGGTACTAAAAATCTACAAAATTGTTCTTAATACCTGAATATGGAACAACACAACAACTGACAGTAATTTTTTGAACTACCATTTGTTTACCAACTTTCATTCATTAAGGCAAAATAAAATTTCTGGGCGGTACTGGTTCCAAAACAACTCATTCCTTTTCGAAAAAACGGCTGAGTTGGCTCAGTGCGACGACTGTTGCCTCTGCATCGTTTCTGATCTAGGATTCGAGTCTCGATAGTGACGGAATTTAGACATTGGTTATTTATCTACATCGAATTAAGCCATTATTTTCCGTGGTTTCTCCGATCAACACGAGGCGAATAACGGAGCAGATTCTCAACCGCCACAGCGGACCGCGCGCGATCTTTCCTTCCTCACACTTTTCTCTACCTCTTCTCTTATATGTAGCCCCCACAAACACACACACACACACACACACACACACACACACTTACACTTCAATACGTCGGGAGAACAATCAGGAACTTACAACAAATTCGATTTTCAAAAAAATCCTCATTTTTGAAAAATAAATGCCTTTGCACCTCTACTCTGATTTATACCAACTTTTTAGTTACATACTGAACTCGGCATTACTCCAAACTCCATTCATATTCCCCTCTTAGTCAATGGGTTTTATCCCAAAATTCATCGGATTCCTTCAGCCATACATTTCAAACTTAACAAACACCACACCGTAAACGTTTTTTATCTGATATGTCTTTTCACAAGTTAATTAAATAACGCGTACAATCATGTGGAAAATTCGATATCAAAAAAATGTATATCTACGACCATTAAACGAATACTAAGAGAGCTAAGGGCATGCTGGTCGAGCTGAGGCGGGGATCCGTTGTCGCAAGGACCTGCGAGGGAGACACGTGTAGAGCGGTGCCGGACCTCCCCTTCTAGCCGGCGAGCAGCACAACAGCTCAAGCATGGAATAACTTTACCTTCTCGTATAAGTACGTATGTACAGAGTAATACATGTAGTATAGAGAAATTTATGTAATGCTGCGACAAAAAATGGCGTTTTTTTAATTTTACAAGCTGCGATCACAGTTGGTTTGTTATGAAAGGAATTGTCGCTTCTCTTTCGGTGGGAATAAGATGAATTTCAAGTCCACTACTTCATGAATTTATTAAAAACTTCGTAGTCTTATCTAAATAGGAAGAAATTAAATTTTGGTAGATAATGGAATTTCTGGCTGTGATATAAACGCCGCACTTTTACGTAATCAATGCTTTTATTATTTTTTCTGCCTCCTCGCTAGACCTTGAAACATTTGCTGAACAACTTAAGCTATTCCTTAATTTACTCAGCAATGTTTTTACGATGCTATTCATAATAACATTGTAGTTCTTCAAAACCTTTCGAACAGATGTAATGCGTACACTCCAAAAGTGTTGCATTTTGTGGTCCGATATCTGCAGGCTCTATTAGCAAACATACATTTTACGATGATATTTCAGCGGTTGCAAAAACGAACTCAACATTCAAAAACGTCTCAGATTACGCAAACATCCTGTCCGAGGCTAGTTTTGTAATATAATATTTAAATTGAGAGAACCGAAATTTAGGTCGTCCCGACCGGAAACACGAAACCCAAGTGTCCGCATGCAGCGAGTGTAACCAGAGAATCCTTTCAGGCCCTGCTCGCCGCTTCCTTCCCACACAGCGCCTCCTTCCTTTCATATCAAGCGTCCATTGAAGCTGTCGAGATACGAAACGAGAAGCGCTTCGCCTCTGCTGCACTGTATTTGGAATCGTTCCTTATCTACACGTTCACATGTTGTTCTCTACACTTATTTTCAAGTATGAAAAATATGGTCATTTATGATTCAAGCTACCCTTAATTTAATAGACAAAGACAATGACGTGACTATAGAGCGGCGTACTGTTCACAGATAGTACACAGAGAAAAGGGAAAGAATTATAAAGGGAAATATAAAGGGTAGGAATTATTTATTTACTTATTTGTTTATTTGTGGGACAGCATAATTTCTTCTACATATTGGCTATGATCAAAATGTATCTTTTTAAATTAGAATATTCTCTTTTCAGTTCGCCTTTTTCATTTTTGAGGAACGAAAGCCATTTTGGTATGCCGAGTTAACGCATCTTCAACCGACATGTAAGTGCCCCAAACTCTGGCATCTTTATATTTTATATTTAAACTTCATTAGAGTTAGGGATCCCTTTGATCGTTTATCAAATTTTAAAAATTTCCCGTGAATGAGTTACTCTGAGCCGGCTGTGTCCAGGTCATTTCACATACTGAAAATTTTAGCTGAACTAAAATGTTGAGTATATAACAATATTGAAGCTTTTATAACATTTTACATTCTCGATTATATTTGGGGTAATTTCTTTAACAAGCCATGATCGCAAAGTACTAATCTCTCTCGGTGAATTAGTCATCTAAAAGTTCCATGTACTGTACAAATGTTCGTACATCACAGTTTCGGAAGGGAACCTAAGGTAACGACACAGGTAGCAACTTTACCCCTTATTATCGTGCACTATTTTTAAACAGGTTTCAAGAATTATAAATACATTATTTGTGTCCACACATTTATTCCGTAGAATAAATACTATTATATTAAGAAATTTTTACAACACACAAAGCCGTTTAGAAGATAATTTTAAGAAGGAAAACAGAATACGGGAAAGAAATTAAAGAAACAGCGGAAAGCATTAGTAGTATCTGCAGTGTGAAATGTGTTACGACATACCTTGCAAGTAGTGAATAATCGAACAACAACAATGAATGTTCAGGTAAATAATGCTCACATTTTACAAGTACTCTTTTTTAAATATTTTTGCTCCTCAATTTCTATAAATTAGCATATTAATGTCGCTCATATTCTATTATAACAAGGGTTTTAAGAAGAGAGAGTGGTTTCCGATAAAAAATGTTTTGCCATTTGTCGAGATGCCATCACTAAAATCAATTGAAAAACGTCTCATGCATATCAGAGATTTAGCATTTTTTTGCAATTAGTTGTGGATATGCCTGAGAACAATACATTCACTTTTATGTATTTTCAATCTTCAGACAAAAAGGAAACAAAGAATAGTACTATTTTTTCTCATTGTCATTGTTCGTTTTCTGTTACAGATGTAAATGTAAATTGTCACTTTTATCGAAATCTGCTTACGAGAAGCGTCTCATTTTAAGAGATGAAAGAAAAAGTTTTCCGATGTGAACAACCTCATTCTTTACTCATTAACGAGCCATTGCAGCGGATCTGCCGCTTAATGAAGAGAGGTGCGCGCGCAGCTGCATCGCGAGAGGGCGCCGCTCCCAGCTCCCCGCGCCAGGCAGCGTCCTCTGGCGGCCGTTTAGCCACTCGTTGCACGCCGTTCGCTCCTCACCCGCGGCTGTTAACTCGCAAGTTTAGAGGACGTTATTCACGCTACGACCAGCGGCGCGGCAAAGCTGCGGACGGGATTATTGGCGCATGAGGAGTAAAGAGTTTTTCCCTTCGTGTTAACATTTTAAGCATGCTATATCTTGGCACTTTGGGTTTTAAAAAACTACCATGTAATTTTGATAGAGAGAAAATTAACACTGCCTTCACCTTATTAAAATGAGCAACATCTTTATTTTAGGAAAATAATATGAATTTGACAACATAAGTAGTATAAAACATTTTTGGAGAAGCATAAAGTATTAGAGGCAAACACGACCTACGTCAGTTAAATATTGTTTGCCGGATCGTGGGTCACGGTCTGGGAGAAAATGTGTTTTTACTCGTTTCGTCCACACCTGCAGTGGCTATCGGGGGACGGGTGAGCAATGCGTCTTCCACGCGAACTCGATCCATCATCCCAGAGATATACAATTATTATTTGAGAAATCTTTGCATATGAAGTTGGAGTACCATTTCCTTAATTGAAATCGAATACGAGAACAGATTAATATAGGGTGTTTCAAGATTGTCTTCGGACCCGCGAGGTAGAATTTCTGCAACCTACAAAGAGGCCATTTATACAAAACAATGTGGAAATCATTGTTGTTTAAAATGATTAGAGATATTGGCAATTCGAGTAGTCAGAGGATTATGCAACAGCCCCTTAAGAATAAATGCAACAGCCAAAATAACAAGCAAGACTTTGTCGCAGTGAATGCAATGAGTACATAAAGATCAACATGTGCAATTTAGACCTCTCTGATGGTTCATGGACAGCGGGCTAGCTCTCCGTGATGCAATCCTGGATTTCATGTTTGGTCAGAGAATAGAGTTGCAGGTTGTTAATATAACCATCTCTGGTTTTATATCTGTATGACGAAAGAAAATCTCAGGCAGGCCAAGGAAGCTAGACACGGTGAAAGAAATATGACGTTGTTGCCACATGTCTGCCTTACTTCCAATCGTAAAAAACAAATTAAAACCGGGGTCAGGCCTGAGATCATCACTAGCTGACAAACGTCGCATTAATCTGGCTCTGAAAACTCGCATTAAATGTCAAATACTTACTTTTTTAGATACCTAATTACAAATACTTAATTCTTTAGATACTACTAGACTGCACGATATTGCGGATGGAATTATGAAACGGCGAGTGTCGCACGGTTT